ATGAATCCACAAGAATTCAAGTTATTTTTCCAAGAAATGCAAAACCAACGTGCGAAAGACACCGAAGCAATGCGTGAACTTTTCAAAGAGTGTTTGCAAATGAAAGCAGTTCCGAAAACAGAAAATCCGGAGCAAACAATGGAGATTTTAGCATCGAGTCTAACGGAATTTGTTTATGATCCAGAAAATAACTTAACATTTGAAACGTGGTATACGAGGTATGAAGATTTGTTCTTAGTAGATGGTAGCAAACTTGATGACGCAGCGAAGGTCAGGCTTCTATTAAGGAAACTCAGTACAACTGTGCATAATAAATATATGGACTTTATTTTGCCTAAGCATCCACGTGAATATAATTTCACTACAACAGTGGAGAAATTAAAACAACTGTTTGGACTCCAAAAGTCACAATTCAGCTTACGCTATAGCTGCTTACAGTTAACCAAACCACCAGATGCAGACTATACTACGTACGCAGCCGAAGTTAATAAACAATGTGAAAATTTTAAATTGAATAGCCTGTCACTGGACCAGTTCAAATGTTTAATGTTCGTATTGGGGCTGAAATCGGAAGCAGACTTCGAAATAAGAACCCGAATATTGACCAAACTGGACACAGAAGCTGATACCATCAACTTGGAAAAACTTACAAACGAGTGTCAGCGTATTATTAATTTAAAATCCGACACAGCGCTGGTAGAAAATAAATCACGTGAAAATCAGGTGAATCGAGTACAAGCAAATAAGCTTAAGAACAATCACAAACCGAAAACACCATGCTGGTTTTGTGGAGCAATGCATTATGTGCGTGACTGCCCATACAAAAATTATAAATGCGAAGACTGTCACAACATAGGCCATAAAAAAGGTTATTGCAAAGCGAAAAATTTATCAAAATCAAAATGCAATAACAACAACAAAAATAATAGCAATGGTAAAGCAAAAACATTTTCACAGCCACGATCCAACAGTATATACACAACAAACAGCATCACAGCTTCACAGCGTAAATATGTCCACGTTAAAATCAACAATGTGCGAATCAAATTGCAATTTGATACTGCATCGGACATAACTATCATTTCAAAATTTAATTTCGACAAATTAAATATTTTAAATACAATGGAAGTACAACCAGAATCTGCTAAAAGTGCAACTGGAAACTTACCATTGTACGCAAAATTTACATGTGATGTGCAGTTAAAAGACACAATTAGAACACTTACGTGCTTCGTTACAACGATCGATTTGAACGTATTCGGATTGGACTGGATAACTGTTTTTCAACTTAGCGATATGACGCTTAATGCTATTTGCAGCCAAATTTCAACAACAAAACAGGCAAGTAATGTTTCAATAAAGTCGTCAAATTGCAAATTTCTTCCGGAAAAATTATTTCCAGAACTTTTCGATAATGCTATGGGTCTTTGTAATAAAACTAAGGCACATTTAATTATTAAACCAAACTGTCAACCTGTTTTTCGACCTAAGCGCCCGGTAGCATACGCAGTTCAACATTTGGTTGAAGAAGAAATCAAGCGACTTCAAGATCTCGACATTATCGCACCCATCAATTACTCTGACTGGGCCGCACCAATCGTAGTTATCAAAAAGCCAAATGGTAGCATTCATATTTGCGCTGATTTCTCAACTGGTCTTAACGACGCGCTTGAATCTTACAAGTATCCACTACCGCTTCCAGAGGATATTTTTGCAAAAATTAGCAATGCAACAGTATTTAGTCATATAGACCTTTCGGACGCTTTTCTCCAAATCGAAGTTGATAGCAAATCGCAAGAACTTCTCACAATAAACACGCATCTAGGTTTATTCAAATACAAGCGTATGGTTTTTGGCGTCAAAACTTTTCCGGCAATTTTCCAACAAATTATGGATAAAATGCTTGCGGGTTTAGATTGCGCAGCAGCTTACATTGACGATATCTTTGTCTCAGGTAGAAACCAACAAGAGCATGACAACAACTTACATGAAGTTCTACAACGTATTTATCAATACGGGTTTAAACTCAAGATCGCAAAATGCAATTTTTCAGTTCCTGAAATTGCTTACTTGGGATATATTGTCAGTAAAGACGGCATTCGCCCAGATCCAAAAAACATTGAAGCAATCAAGACAATGCCTGCGCCAACCAATCAATCCGAACTTAGATCACTTTTAGGTGCTATCAATTTTTATGGAAAATTCATAAATCACATGCGCAAATACCGAGGACCATTAGACGAACTACTTCAAAACAACAAGCAGTGGCAATGGACGGAACTTCATCAACGCTGTTTAGATGGTTTCAAGCAAATTTTGTCATCAGAGTTATTATTAGCGCATTACGATCCACTAAAAAACATAGTAGTCGCTGCAGATGCATCTAACTATGGGCTCGGAGCTTGCATTTTTCATGAAGCTGACGACGGTTCAATGAAAGTAATATGTCATGCGTCCAGATCACTAACGCCCACAGAAAAGCAATATAGCCAAATAGAAAAAGAAGCTCTTGCGCTTATTTTCGCGGTTACGAAATTTCACAGAATGGTTTTTGGGAGAAGATTCAAACTTCAAACAGATCATAAGCCTCTTCTAGCTATATTTGGTGATAAAACGGGAATTAAGGTGCATCAAGCAAATAGACTTCAACGTTGGGCAATTAAACTGATTGCATACGACTTCGAATTAAAGTTTATTTCAACTAACAGTTTTGGGTATGCAGACGTTTTATCACGACTCATACATAACACAATCAATCCTTCAGAAGACTATGTCATCGCTGCAGTAGAGTTTGAAATTGAAAGTAAACAAATTTTACATAACTCACTTGATAAGCTGCCGCTTACCAGCAAAATGATTACTTACGAAACAGCTAAGGACAAGGTTTTAGCTAAAATTCTCGAATATGTAACTAAAGGATGGCCATCAAACTGCAACAACAGTGAGTTAAAAGCTTACTTTAACCGAAAAAACGACATATGTATAGTTGACGGATGTTTAATGTTCGGACAACGCATTATTATACCTCAAATTTTCCGAAAGCGCATTCTTAAAGAAATTCACCGAGGTCATCAAGGCAT